CGAGGACATGGAAAGGAAAGGTAACATCCAGTCTTCACACACAACAAACATGTTTAGAAAATGCTGGGAACAGAGTGGGGAGCATTTACTGTCTGAGAAGGAGAAATTCTGGGGTTGCCACAGGTAACATCAACTGACATAAGGCACCTTTTACCTTTAGCATTGTAACAGGCAGATATTCAGTGAGTAGAAATACAGAATATTACAGAACAAGGCCATGTTGCCCCAGCCTGTAATGGCAACTATATAGATACAGTGTATTTGATACAATCTTGGGACAAAAATGTATGTACAAAATTAAATACAAAAATCTGTATATTCAACACAGTTTAAGGAAAAAGTTATATAAGCAGTGCAAAATCTATACATTCAGTACAAGCCTGGGACAACATTTTCTTTTTCTTGGCAACAGCGCTGTCCTGTAAACTCTGCTTCCTAATCATGAGGGCACATGAGAGGTGTTGTGTTTAGGTTTGTCCAAAAGTGCAGCTTTGGAAACATTATCTTTTGGGATGACATCTCCTAGATATCTGGGAATCTTCCAGCTATTTGATTTGGTTTCAGCTGCTATTTATCCTTTTTTAAAAAAAACATATTTCTGGGTAGTTTTATCTGCTCTTACTTGCTACCTTCTTTTGGTGTTTTGTTACAGTTTTGACAGATTTATTTTATTGATATTACTGCATTTTACCGTCATATACTTTATCTGGCTGCCATCTTGAAAACAAGATCGCAAATGAATGAATAAATAAATAAAATGCAGAAGAACAGAACTGTGGGTACTGTGTAACCCACCCAGCACCTCAAGCTACCTTGAGGTATTCTCCTACTACTTAATTGGAAGAATAACCTCTTCTGTAGTGTATACTTTGACCTTTCACAATTTTGTGAAGAGTATTCATTGGGAGCACATTTCCTCCCTATATATCTTAAATTTATTGTTTTAACATACTCTTTACAGACCGATGTAGTTACATGCCTTCAAGTCTCCTCTGACTTATGACAAGTCTATGAACAATAAGAATACCGTACAGTGAATGAAATTCTATTGTGCAAGTATGCAAATAGTGCGACTTTTGGAAGTGAACTGTTTTAAGTTAAAAAAAATCTCTATAGACAACTGTTGCATATGGAGTCACGGGCCTTGAAACACAACAGAGGAGGTCTATGGAGAGTCCTTAACTTACAGCTGTTAGCTGCTAAATGCTAACATAACATCATACAGCTTCTCCTCTCTCCATAAAGAAAAAAAAATCTCTATGGACATTCTTGTTGTTGCTAGCTTTTGACTGGCTGCTGTGCTTTTAGTAGTAGGTTGGCAACATTAGCAGGTGATAAAGTTGATCTTTGTGCTGTAAAGTCTTGCAGCTGTTGATTTTTTGCCTCAGATCAAGCAACTGTTAAAGGCACAAGTGCATGTTGGCCTGGTTTTTCTTCTTTCCAGTTAGTAAGCAACCCTGGATTCATGTTCTCCCCTGCTGGCCCCTGGTCTTGCCAAAAACTTTCTGCCTTTGCTGTCAAATTAAGTAGCAAAAACCATTCACCTCTCAGAAACATACATTCGTGTGGATTAAATAAGATGTTTGACATTGTGTTTTCAATTGTGTTGGGTTGTTGTTTGTAAAGCATCGCAAGATCTGGCAGAAACAAATGAACGAATACCTTTGTCAGTCTAATTGAGAGGAATGAGATCCCTGCCTTCGTTGCTGAGTCAGAGAAATAGTTACCTCGCTGGGCACGGCTGTTACCAGATCTGAGCCAACAACAGTTTGTAACAAAAGGGGTTGTTGAAACCTTCTGGCAGGAGAATGAAAAGGGGTGACTTGAGACGAGGAGATTGTGTTTCAGGACTGGGATGTGCCAGAAAGGAAAAGGACTGTTTGTTTCAGCCAGGAAAAGGAACAGAGAGGTGGGTTTTGGTCTTGCTTGTTTTAAAGAACATTTTTTTAAGTGGGAAAGAAAAGATATGGTGTTTGTTAGTACATGGGTGGTGTATCCAGCGTACCATAGAAAGGAAAGTGTTAATATTTTTGTTGCTATGCTTCCCCACTTATTTAAGTGGTCAGAGGTTCTAGACGTTCAGGACTTCCCCAATGTGCTTTGAAAGGATATAACTGGAAGTGTGTGGCATCTTGTAATATTCAGATTTATGTATGAATGTGCAGGTTGCACATATACAGAGGCAATCTACTGTCTCCCATCAGATCTTCAGAAAAAGGCAGCTATTCCCTAAAAGGCACTTTCTACACCTTGTTGTCCGCAACACTTGCAGTGCCTGGCTGACTGTGTCTGAGACCTAATGCACACAGCATTTATTTAAGGTTCTTTCATTCCATGATACTGGTATCTCCCATAGCATCCATAAGATGCAAGGCTGAGACTTGTATTAGTAGTATCAGAGCAAGACAAACAGCCTTACTTTCTTGGTGGGGCTCATGTGTAAAAACTGCTCATGAAGAGCCTAGTACTGCACCAACCCATGCTGTTCTCTGCTGTCTGTGGGTGTAGTTTCTTTTTGAGTGTTTTTTCACTGATCAGTGCTCCAGCTGTCAGTTGCACTGTGCTGCTCCCACCTGTTCTGTTTCATTATAACAACCCTTCTCCCATTTCCTTCTTCAAATTTCTTTGTGTTTCCCCCCTTGCTGCTTTTTGTCACAGTTCAGAAGCACAGAGACAGACAGACAAACAAACAGGAACCCTTGTGTTCTGCACTAGGATTATGAGCAAGGGAGGAGAAAACCCCCACCGTTGTTACAGATTTACTGGGAAGACCTATTGCGATCAGGAAAGTTACTATTTTGAACCACAGGTACCAGCCTGGGGAATTTTGGGGATTATTGTTCCAAAATAGTAACTTGTTCCATCTGTAATCTCCTGTGGATTAAACCATTACAGTTGTTAATCATGATAAACTAGGACTCAGGAGGCCTGGGCTTGAATCTCTGCTCTGGGGTGTG